TGGGGTGTGATTTGCTGAACTTGGGGTTCCAGGAGGGCATAGCCCGAGCCCTGTTTCAGTGTGGTGGGGGTCGCACATGGTCTTAAGGGGTCAAGACAAGTGCTGTGGCGGAACAGGGCGTGGTTAAGTTGGAAGTTATCAAGGAATTGGAACTGTACAGGCCAGGGCCTAGGCTGAAGTAGGCCAGACGGTGTCATGGTTGGTAGGTTCTAGCTCTTCTGTGGCGACGAACCTGGGGGTGTAGGGGTGTCTGGGTACACCCCTACAGTTATCATTATGATATGGGGCCTCGTTGGTAGGCCGGATGTTTACAAGTTTATTGGTAATTGATGTTAATTATTGTTCATGTGGTAGGGTCATTGTCAGGGGATTGTGCGGGGGGATAATAAATAATGTCATTTATGACAATGACCCTAATTATGTTAATTTATTCATATTAATAAAGCTGTGGACGTTATACTCCAACAGTATTAAACGTGTCCGTGTATTATTAAAGTTAAAGTTTATAGCACATGCCGAACAACGACAGTGCAAATGTCATGTTTCCTTTCCAGTGTGAGTCAGATCATCTTGCTTATATATGGTTCCTGTGTTGATTCATATAGTTCCTGATTATGGATGTTCTGCTCTCCTGATTGACCTCATCAAAGAAAGAGGAAGTGGAAGGGTCCAGTTACGGGTTTTATATGTCTAGCTTCATGCTGATTGGTTGTTTTCTTTTGACTGTTAACTGTTTCTTTGCTGCAAGTGTCAGTAAAGAAGGTATAAGCAAATATCTGGATCCTGATTTTAATAACATTTAAATTATTTATTTACCAAGGCTAGATGTCTAGCCTTGGTAAATGGCTAATGTTTAAATAGCTGCACTCTGGGACTCTAAATCCCACTAATCTCAGGCAGAACTAAGATATGTGTTGTGCTTTCATTAACATCCTCCCCTTAAATTTTACAGTTCCCATATTCACTAATCACAGTATTACCCTAACACTCTGCACAATGACCCTTAACCCCTTCAGGACGGGTGACGGACGAGGTCCGTCACACAGGGGAGACCCTTAACGACGGGTGACGGACCTCGTCCGTCACGCGGTAAAATTAACCCCGGATCGCCGCTATCGCGGCGATCGCAGGGTTAATGGTGCTCCCGGTATGCCTCTGCATTGGAGGCATACCGGGAGCACCCGGTCAAGCTGCCCAGCACATGTGCTCGCTCTGACCACAAGTCGGAGCGAGCACATGTGCTCTGTATACTCACCTACCGGCTCCCTGCACTTCCGGGTTCTGTGTGAAGTGCAGGGAGCCGGATCAGTGCTGATCCTGCCCCCTGCTGTAAAAAAAAATAAAGTTAATTTAAAGTGTCCCCCCCCTTACCCATTTTAATAAAAAATTAACCCCTTCCCTGCCAATTGATCACTGACTACAGTGATCAATTGGCAGGGATTACATTTTACTATGATCTGATTTTTTTTTTTAACCCCTGAGGGTTAATTCTTTTTTTTTTAACCCTCAGGGGTTAAATTAATTAAATTAATTAATTAAATTATTTTTAAATTATATATTTAGATAGCTGGGGTAGGTGGAAGTTAGTGGGGAATTGGGGGATTTGACGTTAGGCTAACTAGGGGTTAACGTTAAAAAAAAGTTTTAAAAGAAACTTTAAAAAGTTAAAAATTAAGCTTAAAAAATGTTTTAATAACATTTAAGTAATAAAAACAAAAAAACACACTTTACCTAGTCCAAATAAAAATTAACCCCTTCCCTGCCAGTCGATCACTGCCTACAGCGATCAAATAGAGATCACAGTATTATACTGTGATCTAATTTTTTTTAACCCCTGAGGATTAACTTTTATTTATTTTTTTAACCCTCAGGGGTTCAATTTATTTAATTAATTAATTTAAATATTTTATAACTATATATTTTGCTAGCTGGGGTGGGTGGGAGTTATGGGAAAATGGGGAATTTACTGTTAGTGCTGCGTACTGCTAGTTAGGGGTTAACAGTAAAAAAAATAGCTTAGAAAAATGTTAAATCTGTAAAAAAGTTTTAAGAAAGTTTAGGAAAGTTTAAAAAAAATTTATAAGCAAAACAAAAGTTTAAAAACTAGTTTTTAAAAGTAAAAAAGTTATAAAAAGTAAAAAAATACATTTTAAAAACGCTCATTACCACTACACCTGGAACAAACTAGAGAAAAAATTATCCCACGCCAAGGTTCAAAATATGCCTTTTGAATTACCCCAGGGTGTATTCTTTAATAAATAGTATGTGTTTGTGGGGAAGTTTCAATAACCAACCGTCTAAACTATTCCAAATTGGAACATGGACACAGCGTAAAACTTCAAAGTTAGAAAAAAACTGAATGGCTGCGTCTCAAATGCGCCCCTTCAACATCCACATATACCTGGCAAAGGTACATACGGGGGTATTGCTGTACTCAGCCGACATAGCTGAGCAACATATGAAGTATTATACAGTCATAGTACACATAAGGTTTGCAAAATATGCTGCGCAAACTCACTTTGTATGTCAAAAAGGCAGAAAAAATGCTTATTACCACTACACTTGGTACAAGCTAGCGGAAAAATGATCCCACACTAAGGTTCAAAATATGCCTTTTTAAATACCCTGGGATGTCTTCTTTAAGAAATGGTATGGCTTTATGGGGAATTTGGATTATATAGCCTGGTAAAATACTCTAAAATGGGACATAGGCACAGCATAAAAATTCAAAGTTTGAAAAAAACTGGAATGGCTGTGTCCCAAATGTGCCCCTCCGATGTCCACACATACCTGGCAAAGGTACATACGGGGGTATTGCTGTACTCAGCCGACATAGCTGAGCAACATATGAAGTATTATACAGTCGTAGCACACATAAGGTTTGCAAAATATACTGTGCAAACTCACTTTGTATGTCAAAAAGGCAGAAAAAACGCTTATTACCACTACATCTGGTACAAGCTAGCGGAAAAATGATCCCACGCTAAGGTTCAAACTATACCTTTTGAAACACCCTGGGGTGTCTACTTTAAGAAATGGTAGGCCTTTGTGGGGTAGATTGAATTTAAAACCTGCGAAGATGCTTGGAAATTGCACATAGGCCCAGCGTCAAAATTCAAAGTTTGGTAAAAACGGATATGGCTTGGTCTCCTATATGGCACTGTAGCTTCACAAAATAGTGACAAAGACATTCATTGGGGGTGTATTTTTACTCAAAAGACTTAGCTGAGCATAATTTGGGAGGTTTGAACTTAGTGGCACATATGAAATATACAAAACGCCCAGCAAAAATGCAATCCGTATGTAAAAAATGCACAAAATAATTTTTTACCACATACTTTGGCATATATTGGTGAAAAAATGGGGGCATGTTAAGGCACAATATGCACCTTATAAGATACCCTGGAGTGTCTACTTTTACAAATGGTAGGCCTTTGTGGGGTTTTTTTGAACAGTCAAACTGTTATAATACCCCAAATGGAAGCTAAGGCTCATTAAATCCATCTCTCAAAATTCTACTGTGAATACTGTAAAGGACAGGTCTCCTATATGGCACTGTAGCTTCACGAAATAGTGCCAAAGACATTCATATGGGGTGTCATTTTACTCAGAAGACTTAGCTGAGCATAATTTGGGGGTTTGAACTTAGTGGCACATATGAAATATACAAAACGCCCAGCAAAAATGCAATCCGTATGTAAAAAATGCACAAAATTTTTTTTTACCACATACTTTGGCATATATTGGTGAAAAAATGGGGGCATGTTAAGGCACAATATGCACCTTATAAGATACCCTGGAGTGTCTACTTTTACAAATGGTAGGCCTTTGTGGGGTTTTTTTGAACAGTCAAACTGTTATAATACCCCAAATGGAAGCTAAGGCTCATTAAATTCATCTCTCAAAATTCTACTGTGAATACTGAAAAGGACAGGTATCCTGTATGGCACTGTAACTTCACGAAATAGTGCAAAAGACATACAATGGGGGTGTCATTTTACTCAGCAGATGTAACTGAACACAAAATAAAACTTTGTACAGGAATAGCACACACCAACTTTACAAAATATACACGAGAATTTCTCTGTTATAAGTTTGTGTGCCAAAAACCAAAAAGAACACAATTTTACTCCAATATTTAGCAGAGGTTGGCGGTAATATGGCTACGTAGAAAGTGTCAAAACAACCTTAGGTAAATAGCCCGTGATGTCTACTTTATATAAATATATACTTTTGTGTGGCAATTTTGTTTTCTTTTATGGCTATTAAGCTTACAAGACAAACATACCAAATTCTAAAATCGCTCCACATTAAAAGTTTATTTTACTCCTTGTGCTTTGTGACCTGTAACTACCAAAAAAACTTAAAATCCCAGACACATTATATATTCTGTAAATCAGAACAAATAAATAAATTTATTTTTAATTACTTTCCTTAACCTGCACTAATTATGCACACATTATTATTGCAAAAACTGTAAAAAAAAAACAATATTTTTCATTTTTTTTGCATTTTTCTGTATTTTTTTTATACTAAGTAAGCATTTATATATATATATATATGTTATATCAAATTAAAGCCCTTTCTGTCCTTTAAAAAACAGTATATAATATGTGTCGGTGCAATAAATGAGAGAGATGCAAATTGCAGTTGAACGCAAACAGCAAGAAAATGCAAAAATTGCTTGTGTCATTAAGCGTAAGTCAAGCTTCTGAAGCTGTGTCCTTAAGGGGTTAAACCACACATTAACCCCTACACACTTTCAGTAAACATTAACACCTACATTATCTAAAACACTTAAACTACACTAACTCTAACCCCAAAATGTCATGTAATATTACACTTATATTTTGTTGGAGCATGAATTAGAAGGGACAAATAATGGATTTGTAGATTACCATGATGTTTCCAGAACCCCTCAATGATGTTATTTTGTCGTAACACACATTTCATCTTCTAGTTGTATGTGACCATGATATTACAAATTTACTGATAAATTATTATTTGAACCATTCAGCAATACTTGGAATAGTCCTGTAAACTGGGGCCTCTTTCAGGGCTTTGCATACTCTGCAGTATTCAACTATCCAGGATCTCCGCTGTTTTGTTGGCTGATATGTACTTCTCCAGTTAAAATATTGTTGATATTTTTGATCGTCTTTGTCCAGGGCAAGCAGATAAGAGGCCAGTTCTTTGGCAGAAGGAAAATCGTCTACATGTATAAAAGAGTCTGCAGGTATATATCGTTCATAGTTTTTCCGTGGTGGACCCATGACAACTGGCACAGTACCTGAAAGGAATGAATTGGTCCAGAGTTTCTCTGTAATATAATCTTCATGAATAGAATTCTCAAATGCCAAATAAAATTTGTATTTGGATAGAGTTGCTAATTTCTCAGTCTTTGCTAAAGGTATATAATTGTAAAATTTTCCAAAGAGGTCAACCTTTAAGTATTTTTTTAGCACGCCATAGTATTTCACTCTTCTGGAGGATGTATTCCAATGACTGATCGCCCAGGCCACCAACTTGGTCTTTTCCGGAATGGTGAAGGTTTGAGTTTCATTGTGAGTTTTCAGCCAACCATAAGGTGCAAAAATATCAGAGTCGACTCGATATGACATAGTAAGATTAATAAGATTATTCATAAAGGCTAAATTTGGACTGTGAGATGGGGACTCTGTGTTAAACCAAATCCAGTACTGATTAGGGGGTCTTGGTATCTGAGGCAATTGCTGTTTGGAATCACATACATTCCTGTGGTGAATAACAACAGCTTTTGCTGTTGAGAACATATTGCGGTCAAGTGTAAAAAAACAGTCAGAAGAATCAAAGGGTTGCGGACAGTTGTTGAGTGGAAAGTGATAGTTGAATGGCCGTGTCCAAAGCAAAATTACATAATGTGGCTTTTCTGTTACATCTACTATTTTGTTTGATTGTTCATTTTTCATCTTACTCCGAAATAAATAAAAAATTATAAATGATATAGCAATTTGTATTATGATAAAAAAGAAGATCTTGTTCAATTTTGATATAGTTTGTTTGGATTCCATGGTGCTATCACCTTTTCTTGGTAATTCAGCAATCTCTTACTTGGCAACTTCTTTATTTGTTTTCATTTTTTATCACGCTAAATCTTCAGCACTTCTCCTTCTGATGTTTATCACTAAAATTAAATGAAATAAAATTATTTCAGAAATGAATTGGGAAAGGAAAAGAAGTTATATATATCTTATAAATCTGCATTCCTTACACTCGAGTTCCCTCTTCATTGTGGCCCCCTCCCCCGGCATGGAAAGGGTTAAAAAAATCTTACCCAATTCCAGCGCCGATATCCCTCGGTGCTGGGTCAGCGCCCTGCCTCCACCAAAGTCATCCAGATGGGGGGTTGTGAGCGCAGTAGGCCCTCACCTTAAGAAAGCGTTGACTCAATGCTTTCATATAGAGATTTTACTGATATTGGATGTCCTCATGCAGAGTGTAAGGACATACAGTGTCAGTTAGGTGACCTAATGTTGCTTTGCCACCAGGAAATGCCTCTAGTAGCTGTCTGATTCAGTCCCAGAGGCAGTCTTAGTACTGCAATATAATCATTGCAGTTTCTCTCAAGCTGCGATGATTTACATTGCATGACTAAGGGGGACAGAGACAGTGCACCCAGACTACTTCAATGAGCTGAAGTGGTCTGGGTGACTATAGTGTCCCTTTAACCATACCTTTATTTTACATTCAAACAGTACCCTATAAGCATTATTTCATAGTTGCAGTGGATATGCAATGAGTGCATGTTTCTAGAAATGCTTAGCTGAGTTATACTACAATGAAACTGAAATAAATATTAAATCCAAAATTGTTCTCACCTTACGGATTGTTGTTTTTTTGAGGGAAATCTTGCTGTCAAGTTGCTTTCACGTTCATGCTTTTATTATATACATCTGTGATACACCTGTCGAAACAAACTTATTTCACATCACATATCCTTTCTATCTCACAGAAACAAATGTATTTTTTAAATTACCCAACATATTTTCTCTCATATATCTTCATAGTTCATGATCTAGTCCAGCATTTGAAATTTAACAAAACAGTTCCCTAGAAAGGTACAGCTTGAACAGTTTATCAAAGGAAACCAAAAGTGATATTTTACAGGTAATTTGGTCACACAAGTACACATCTGTCTTAAAAAAAAATAAAAAAAAAATGTTGTATTTACCACTGGCACATTCTTTGTTTACTACACACCCGTACACTCATCATATCTTTTATAAATAAGTCTTTCCTCAATCCTCTTTTTCTAGTCAACTATTCCCATATACATCTGCATCCTTTTTCTCATTTCTAGATTTCTACTTTATCCTGTGCCATACATTCAGGGCCGCCATCAGGGGGTGACAACCGTGACGGTTGTCATGGGCTCTGCGGCCCTGGGGGGGCCCGGATTGCTCTGGCAGTCCTGGGCCCCACTTTCCCTTTCTGCACATATAGATAGCGAATATCGCAATCTATGTGTGCAGCCGCGGGCCCCCGGCTCCCTGTTACCGCAGAGGGGGCCCAGGCAGCACACAGCTTCTCCTCCTGTCTTCTCTCTTCTCATAAATCTTGCGAGACCCGCGGAGCGTTGCCATGGTAACCGGATCTTGCGAGAGTTATGAGAAGAGAGAGGAGAGGAGGAGAAGCTGTGTGCTGCCTGGGCCCCCTCTGCGGTAACAGGGAGCCGGGGGCCCCCCCCACCGGACCACCAGGGATGGAATCTTCCCCCTCCCTGGACACAGGTAAGCAGGGAGAAATATTTAATTAAATTAATAAAAAATCAATGTTAAAATGCCCATTCCTCCCCCTCCCCCCCAGATCATACATTTACACAACACACACTGCATACACTAACACACAACACACACTGCATACACTAACACACCCACACTGCATACACTAACACACCCACACTGCATACACTAACACAACACACACTGCATACACTAACACAACACACACTGCATGCACTAACACACACACACACTGCATACACTAACACAACACACACACTGCATACACTAACACAACACACACTGCATACACTAACAACACACAATGCATACACTAACACAACACACTGCATACACTAACGCAACACACACACACTGCATACACTAACGCAACACACACACACACTGCATACACTAACACAACACACTGCATACACTAACACACACACACTTCATACACTAACACACACACACTTCATACACTAAACAACACACACACTGCATACACTAACACAACACACACTGAATACACTAACACAACACACACTGCATACAGTAACACAACACACACACACTGCATACACTAACACAACACACACTGCATACACTAACACACCCACACTGCATACACTAACACAACACACACACTGCATACACTAACACAACACACACTGCATACACTAACACAACACACACACTGCATAGACCTTGTGCTTTGTCATGGGCCCCAAATTTTCTGATGGCGGCCCGGCATACATTTATATCCACAACTCAGTACTTATGAGTCTAACGTGTATGTTTTACAACTGCGAGTAAATCCAACCTATGTTTTCCTCATGGATTTGTCTGTTGAGTTTGGCAAACGTGACTAATGTGTCTGAAAGTTTGCAATGTATTACACAGCTTTCTTCTGGCTCAAATCAAAGGAAGCTGGTGAGGTTGCTCTTGTTGTCATACGTCGGAATCTCAAGAAGCAATTTGTGGGAAGGTTAACTTAGATAATGATCCTTCTGAAATTGATAAAATAAGTACCATTAATGGGACACTGCAGATCCCAAAAGCACTTTAGCTTTTTTAAATTTTTTATGTGTGAAGAGTGTCCTCTTTTTTTATTTTACAAAAATTTAAGATTTCAATAGAAATTGGCACTTTTTATAAATTAACCTTGTTACACACCCTGACTGTCAATCAGACAACTGCTCCTGTTACTTCCTGTTTTGTTTAGTTCAATGGAGTTAAACACAAGAAGCGAGTGGGGTTGTGTGATAATTTAGAGTATGTGGGTGCATGCATCTTTGGGTGGGGACGTGGCATCTCGGCAGAGGGAAAGCCACGAGCAATGAAAGATTTGGCTGCAAGCGGTGGTGAAATCTGCCACAAGCAGAGAACTGGCTGGGGGCTGGAACTGAACAGGAGTCTGACAGTTTAAGCTAAGAAAGATGGCAGATGGTGAATACAAGATTAAGTCCACGTGGTCTGAGACTGGAGTGAAGTACGTAGCGACAGGTTCAGAGACCTAGAACAGGATACAGATAAGTTATAGTTAAGTTATTCTAAGCTATTAAACTTCAAAGGTCTAACTAAAAAAAAGTTATAAGGGGGGAAAAGAAGAAAAAATAGGAAAGGAGGAAATGTAAAGGTGACTTTCAGTTTTTCAAGTACCTAAGAATACAAACACTTTTAAACATTATTCAGAGAAACTTTGAGTCTAAACCCCTTACAAAAATATGGATGATCAGCTAAACAAATTTCATCCTCTCTAAATACATTTTATTGTAGAATTTCATGTTTTTTGTTTAAAAAGAAGAGTAAGAATAGGGGAGAGCAGTGAGGGGGAAGAAGAGTATAAACATAAAAAGAAAAATTGAAATTAAATCTGAAACTTGTAAAGTATAGAAATAAGCATCTACATAAGTAAAAGCTACAGATTTGCTTTAAAGCTAACAGCTTTATAAATCAAAGAAATGTCTATCTCTCAAAAGAATCTACATTAAAATTATACTGCTCATAGATAATTAAGGAAAATAATAAGGCAAAGAGAAAGTTCCCAGAGGACAAAAAAATACAGATTTTAAAGATTGTGTGGTTCCCTCCTGGTCCTTTCTTCTTTTTTTTTTTTTCTCTTTGTCTCTTTCTCTCCTTGACCTCAACATCTTTACGTAGGGTTTAATTAAATGAATACTAAATAATACCATCTAAACCCAGAGAAAACATCCAAGAAAAAGGAAGTAGTGGGGAAAGTGATGGAAACCATGTTAAAGGATAGGATTGATGAACATCTAAAAACACGTGGATTTCAAGATCAGAGACAACGTGGGTTTACTTCAGGGAGATCATGCCAAACTAATCTTATTGATTTTTTTGATTGGGTAACTAAAATTATAGATCAGGGTGGTGCAGTAGACATTGCTTACCTAGATTTCAGTAAGGCTTTTGACACTGTTGCACATAGAAGGCTTATCAATAAACTGCAATCTTTAAGTGTGGATTCCAATATTGTTGAATGGGTAAGGCAGTGGCTGAGTGACAGGCAACAGAGGGTTGTAGTTAATGGAATATATTCGAAGCTTGGACTTGTCACCAGTGGGGTACCTCAGGGATCTGTACTTGGACCCATTCTCTTTAATATTTTTATTAGTGATATTGCAGAAGGTCTTGATGGTAAGGTATGTCTTTTTGCTGATGATACTAAGATATGTAACAGGGTTGATGTTCCAGGAGGGATAAGCCAAATGACAAATGATTTAGGTAAACTAGAAAAATGGTCAGAATTGTGGCAACTGACATTTAATGTGGATAAGTGCAAGATAATGCATCTTGGACGTAAAAACCAAAGGGCAGAGTACAGAATATTTGATAGAGTCCTAACCTCAACATATGAGGAAAGGGATTTAAGGGTGATTATTTCTGATGACTTAAAGGTAGGCAGACAATGTAATAGAGCAGCAGGAAATGCTAGCAGAATGCTTGGTTGTATAGGGAGAGGTATTAGCAGTAGAAAGAGGGAAGTGCTCATGCCATTGTACAGAACACTGGTGAGACCTCACTTGGAGTATTGTACACAGTACTGGAGACCGTATCTTCAGAAGGATATTGATACCTTAGAGAGGGTTCAGAGAAGGGCTACTAAACTGGTTCATGGATTGCGGGATAAAACTTACCAGGAAAGGTTAAAGGATCTTAACATGTATAGCTTGGAGGAAAGACGAGACAGGGGGGATATGATAGAAACATTTAAATATATAAAGGGAATCAACACAGTAAAGGAGGAGACTATATTTAAAAGAAGAAAAACTACCACAACAAGAGGACATAGTCTTAAATTAGAGGGACAAAGGTTTAAAAATAATATCAGGAAGTATTACTTTACTGAGAGGGTAGTGGATGCATGGAATAGCCTTCCAGCTGAAGTGGTAGAGGTTAACACAGTAAAGGAGTTTAAGCATGCGTGGGATAGGCATAAGGCTATCCTAACTATAAGATAAGACTAGGGAGTAATGAAAGTATTTAGAAAATTGGGCAGACTAGATGGGCCAAATGGTTCTTATCTGCCTTTACATTCTATGTTTCTATGGTTGCTCAGTTACAGCATACTCCACATACTACAGTACTATTGTAGGTGAGTTGGGCTATATTAGGATCTGATGTGGATTTATCCCAGTATAGATAGGTTGCTATTTCCTGACACTTTCTATGCTCTGCTTGTAAAACAGGAAGCAGAAAAACCCGTCTCAGATCCTCTCTATGGCCGCCGGATACATTGCTGGGTTCTAGTATTGTCTGGAAAGTGCGAAGTCCCAGAGAACTTATTTATCGACTCATTCACAGGAAAAAGCTTTGACACCAAAGATGATCACTTCCTGGGTATTGAAAGTGTGTGGAATCATGAAAACTACTGGGTCAACATGCAAGACTGTCGCAACGGGTGCAAGGTACTGGGGACAGATATCACAACGCGTACAGCCTGCGATAATGGGAGAGGTGGTGTTGTTTACATGAAAACACAATAACTCAAACTAAAAAAGCTACAATTTCTGGGGAAATTGTGTGAAGTGTTCTTGCCTCCACCAGTAGTCTACAACTGGAGTGGGCAGAGTAACTGTTATAATTTATATAGCACATTTAATTGCATGTTGTTGCACAGTTACATTAAACCATACATTTATTAAAACATTAGCAGGTGTTCAAAAGGCCCTGTCTATGACATCACTTGCTGCTGCAGCCTGGCACAGGTCAGAGTATTTTGGCGGTTGCCATCTTCAAACGGTCGTATTTTAAAAACTATAAATCCTACAGCGAAGAGCTTTATATTGTGAGAATCACAAGACCCAGACCTACATTTTGATGCATAGTATGTCTCTGAAGTATTATAAATGAAGGCACAGTCGCAGTTTAGAAATTGCCCTTCAAGTTTGAGCTGGCTTGAGTGAAGTTTCAATGAATGTCAATGGAAGGCGTGAGTTGCAAACAAATGGTCAGACCACAATATCATTATAATGGATACAAAGGATGGGAAACATTATCACCCCAGAACTACTTGGAAACTAGACGATTCAATATTATATAGTATCGAAAACTTGAAGTTTTTAAAGGAATGGTCACAACATTTGTTTGAGGAAAATAGCCCAGAGGATACTTCAGAATTAAATACCTGGTGCTCATATAAAGCTACCATCAGAGGATACTGTATAAACATGAAGAGTAGAGCTAGGAAAATAGAAGGATTAGGTTTATCAGAGTTATATATTCAATTGTTTAAAGCCTCTAAAGAGTATAAAGTAAAACCAGACAAAGAAGGCCAAATAAAAATAGCCAATATTAAACAAAGTATTAGGAAAAAAATATCAGAAAGCATAGAAAAGAAGATGATTAAATAAAAAATCAGATATTATTATCGACAAAACAAAGCAGACAAGATTTTATCAAATCAACTGAAAAAGAAACTAGCAGACAACCGTATAGATTAAATCGTCCATGAGGGCAATACATATAGAGCCCCAAATGAGATAGGAGAGATCTTTAATCAATTTTATAAGTCACTTTACAACTTGTTAGACAGTTCTACAGAAGAATCCATAGATAATTATATAAAAGACCTTGAGTTACCAAAAATATCACCAGATCAACTAGAATTATTAAACAAAATCATCTCCAAAGAAGAAGTAATAGATGCAATAAATAACTTAGCTAACTATAAAACACCTGAACCTGATGGCTTTAGCAATAGGTTCTTCAAGGTAATGAAAGATATAATTGCAGAACCATTAACAAGATCATTCAATGAGGCTGTAAACAGGGGAGCATTTCCACAAGAAATGCTAAGAGCTAATATTCTTCCAATCCTGAAAGCTGGCAAAATAGCAACAGATGTAAAAAGCTACAGACCGATCTCTTTGATAAATGTGGATGTCAAGCTTTTTGCGTCAATTATCGCTATATCGGATTTGTCCCTGGAAGAAATTTTAGGAAATAATATCAGAAGGTTATTGGATTCAATGGATCTGTCAGACAAGACATGTAGTCCCCTGCTGATCCTGTCATTAGACGCAGAGAAGGCGTTTGACAGGGTCAGCTGGGGATTCATGATCAAAGCTTTAGAGGCCTTTAATATGAAGGGATGGGTGTTGGATGCGATAGGTTCGCTATATAAGAAACCAGTGGCAAGGTCTATTGGCCAAAATATATGTTCAAACTGGTTTAGTCTAGAAAATGGCACTAGACAAGGATGTCCCCTGTCGCCAATCTTGTACATAATCACGGTAGAAATTTTTGCTTCAAAAATTAGACAAAATACATCAATTAAGGGTCTACCAATTTCTTTTTTTTTTATATTTCTTTATTTATCATATTAAAATTTTTAACATTATTAACATTTACATATGGGGTATCCAAAAGGCATACCTCCAACATAGTAATACAGCCATATACAAAAATAAATTATAAAAAAACAAAAAACAAAAAAAAAAAACACCAAAATTAAACAAACAAACGACACAAAACAAAATAAAAAAAATTAAAAAAAATAAAAAAATAAATTATAAACCATCAATATAGCTACAAATAGCATAGATAGACTGGCAATATATGGTGGTAATGCTGTAAAGAGTGTGCTATAGTTGAATGTAACATACACTTCCATTTTGCTTATTTTCCACAGTTTATAACTCTCATTTCACATTAATATATAACTCTCAAACTGTATATATGCTGAAAGAAAAAAAAAAAAAAAAGAGCTTAATAAAGGATCCAGCATCAATTGGTTCCACATATAGTACAATGTTTCCATTGAAAACCATCGTATCGTACACCCGATATATATTACAGCCAGCAACACTTATCCACTACCAAACCTAATCAAGAAAGTTAACGCCAGGATTTCCCTAGTATAATTATCAGATTGATAGTCAAAAATAAATAAATATATAAATAAGTATTAAAATATAAAAAATTATAATACAAATAGATTACATCTTCTGAGACTCGATAAGGGGGGAACCACAACATGCTATCATGGGTTCTGTCGATTTGTCCAGGGTAACCATAATTTGGTCACGTCTCTAGTACCAAAGAAAGGGTTTATTTCCATCCTATGTTGGTAATCAATTTGCTCCGTAATACTATGCCATATTAAAGGAGTAGAGGATTTCCAAGCCCTAGCTATACATATTTTGATGGCAAAAAATATATGAGTCAAAAGATATTTTTGATATTTATCTTGCGAAGGAAGACCAATATTAAAAAGAAACAGTTGAGGGCTAATTTCTTTTATCTCCTTAAAGATAGAGTTAATAAGGCCAAACATTTGAATTTTTATACTATCGAGACCATGACACTCCCACCATATATGGTAGATAGTACCCTCCTCATTTCCACATCTCCAACAATACTTAGAATGGACAGATGATATTTTGTATAATCTAGCCGGTACCATATACCACCTATATATTATCTTTAAATGTGTTTCATAAAGAGAAACGCTATGTATACAGCGCTTAACCAGGAGTGTAGCCTTGGACCATTCCAAAAGTGGAAAGGATTCCCCAATATCTTGTTCCCATTTAACAAAGGAGGTAGCATGAGAGTCTTGTTCCATTGATTCTAGCACCTTAATAAATCTAGAGATCCCTCCCTTCTTTTTATATAATACAATAAGGGGATTAACAATGTGGTCCTTAAGTATGGTCCGAGATAGTATAAAATTCTTAATCCTTAGATATTGGAAAAGATCTCTAGGGGAAAGATTAAACTTTTCATGCAATTGTATAAATGGGATGGGTTTAAGTCCATCCCATAAATCAGAGATCTTCGTTAGGCCTAGATGTGTCCAAGATTGAACATTTATGTTATCCATTATATATTGTAGGACCACTAATGGAACTCTATATAATAATTTATCTTCTAGCTTCAATTTCTTACTTAGAATTCTAGAAGTATTGATCATATCTATCAATATTCGATTCGAAAAATTCTTGGTATCCAATTCACCCAAATTTAGCAAACCCATCCAAAAGAGAACAAACAGTTCATATCTAGGGCTATCCTCCTGTTCTAGAGTAAGCCATGATATAGATCCCCGCTCCTTATCTAACCACTGTAAAAGATGAGTCGCCATACATGCTTCATGGATTTTATCGACATCTGGAAATGCTATACCGCCCTTCTGGTAGCTCCTTCGAAGGGTATCAAAAGCTATCCTAGGTGGTTTATTAGCCCAAATACATTTAGAAATCAAAATTTGAAAACGTTTAAGAATACCTTTCCCCAATCTATAGGGAATCGCCCTAAAATAATATATCATTTTGGGTATCAAAAATGCCTTGATCATATTTAATCTTCCTATCCATGAGGACTCAATCTTCCTCCAATTGTCTACCAGTTGTTGCAGATCTCTTAATAATGTATCATAATTTGATTGTATCATCCTCTCTATATCAAAAGATATTTTGATCCCCAAATAACCGATAGTATCATTTGCCCATGAGAATTGAAAATGTGTTGTCAAGAAATCTTTCTGAGCCTCAGATAGAAAAGAGGCTAAAATTTGAGTTTTTTTCATATTGATCTTATAATTCGAAAAGCTACTATAATTTGATATAACGTCCAGTACTGATGGAATTGAAACCATCGGATCCGTCAAAGTAAGGAGGACATCGTCTGCAAATAGGGAGACCTTGGTTTCCCCATTGAGGGACTTAACCCCCTTTACGTTGATATCCTGTCTGATCATAGTGGCCAAAGGTTCAATTGTAAGAATATATAATAGGGGAGCCAAAGGGCAACCCTGTCTAGTACCATTTTTTACCTCAAAATGATCAGACTCAACAAGAGAGTTAATTATTTTAGCTGTAGAACTCCTATATAACAACATAGTATTGTGTCTAAATTGACCCTCTAGGCCAAATTGGCCCATGACAGAGTCCAGGAATCTCCAATTGACTCTGTCAAAGGCCTTCTCAGCATCAAGGGCCATAATGACAGACCCCCATTTCTGCTCCTTTATTCTATGTATTAAGTTAAATGTCCTACGTGTATTATCTGTAGTACCTCTCCCTCGCACAAATCCAGACTGATCAATATCAATCAGATCTCCTATTACCTCTTTAAATCTGTTAGATAGTATTTGGGAGAATATCTTTATATCTAAATTAATGAGAGATATGGGTCTTTAGTTAGTAATAAGTGTTGGGTCTTTCCCTACTTTGGGTATAGGAATGATTGAGGCCAATAGCATCTCATTGGGGAAAGGATTATCCGCAGACGCCTTCATAAACATCTCTAATAGGATAGGAGAAATGAGTCTAGAAAAAGTTCTATAGAACATTGTTGAGAAGCCATCTGGGCCTGGGGCCTTATTCGGTTTTAACTTATCTATTACTTCTGTTACTTCTGATAGTAAGAATGGAGCATTCAACATTTCCAACTTACTTTGTTTAATTTTTGGTAATTTAAGGTTACTCAAAAATGTGTCCATTTCTTCTCTACTCCTTCCTACCTCCTTTAGATTATATAA